GATGAAGAATCACTGCGCCACCAGTGCCGCCATTACTATAGTGGCCTGGGCTGAATTCGCTCTCTATGACCCACTGCCCTTGGACCCGACGCTGCAGCGGTTCCGCGGCCTTTCGATCACACGCCGGAATGCCTCCAAGTAAAATGGGATCCAACGATGCGCGATACATAACAATATCGTCCAAACGGTCCCCGTGGGCACTGTGCGGATTCCACCCAAGGGTCTCCGTTGCCTTCGGCCACGGCTCAAAAGGCGGGTGAGCGAGAAAGGGAAGCCCCGCTGGTGTTGCTGCGAAAAGCTCTGACCTGCCGCCAAAGCGCTCGAGCAAGCGCGGCGACCTTGAGGAGGAGGAGGAGGAGGAAGAGGAGGAGGAGGAGGAAGAGAAGGAGCAGGAGGAGGAAGAGGAGCAGGATCACTGCGAAGCGGAGGAAGACGAGGAACACGAGGATGCGTACGAGGAGTATGGAGATGATCGCGGCGAGCAGAGATAGCAGGAGGAGAAATATAACGAGGAGGTTGATGACGAGGTAGAAGATGAATAGGAGGAGGGGGAGGAGCGAAGGATGAACAACACGACGAGGAATACTACCACCAGGTGCATGAGGCGGAATTCGTATTGAGGGGGACGAGGAAGAGAGATGATACTAGTCAGGAGGAGGAGGAATAGGAGGAGGAATAGGAGGAGGAATCAGAGAAGGAGGAGTGGAACGGGAAGGGCGAAGGCGAGAAAAATAATTACGCGGATGCGGGGGGAGAGGACGAATACTACGGTCACGAAGAGCTAGACGACGACGCCGAAGGCGCAGGCGGATCAGAAGCGGGAGAATGCGCTAACACTCTTAGGAACCACCTGGGCTCATACAGCGCTGTTTGGGGATACTGGGCTCTGGCTATGCATCCCTGCGTCTTGGGTGGTGTTTTGGTATTATGTGGACGCCCCGCGCAGTACGTTTCCACATCCCCCTCTCTGTTTTCCCCTTTCGCACAATCATTCGTTCAACCACTCAAACACCATCATCAGCACAACAACACCAGCCTCCTCATCATACATCACAAACATCCTCATCATTATGTACTCAACAACCCACACAAACGTAATCATCCACACGCCCACCATACACGCTCAATATATCACGCAATCAATTCATCGTCGGTGCCAGCATCATTATGATCCAAGTCCCGTTTAATATCACAATTTTGTCACCACCGCCATCACATTCACATCGTCACGCTCACAACCATCATCATCACAATCATCGCACGCACACGCCTACGTCCAGCTGAACTCTCGCACGGAAGCCCGTATGTGAGTGAATCGAGAGGAAGTCTCAAGCGGGACCCCTCACCCTATGGGGCCCGCGTCTCTTCTTACCAATCCGAGCGAATCACCGGGCCCTTGCAATTGTCGTCACGACTGGCCTCTTCAAGCTTGACTGCGGAAAACAT